ATCACCTACCAACGGGGATCGGGGTTAGGGCTTGCCGTGTACGTAGACGCTAGCTACGCCGACACGGAGGATAGGCGTTCGGTGTCAGGGTTGGCGACGACGGTCGGAGGTACCGAAGTCAGCCATGGTAGCAAGACGCGAAGCATCGTGTCTTTGTCTTCGACGAAGGCCGAGTACATTGCTGCCGGGGAGGGTGTCAAGGAGGCGTTGTTTGTGCGTGCTGTGCTTTCGTTTGTTGCCCCAGAGATCAGAAGTAGCAGCATCCAGGTCCCTGAGGACAACCAGGGGGCCATGGCGTTGGTGCAGAACCCTCTCAGCTCAGGTCGCACGAAACACATCGACGTGCGGTTTCATTTCATCCGAGGATTGTTTAGGTCGGGGGAAATTTCGGTCAAGTTTGTCCCGACAACGGAGCAACACGCGGACCTCCTCACCAAGGCCCTTAGCAGGGCCAGTCTGAAGTACCACCGGCGCAAGCTGATGAATTTGCCGGAGTAGCTGTAGCAGTTTGTAGCACTTGGGAGAGGCCATGTTTTCCATGCGGGGAAAGGCGCATAACTGTTGCGGTCTGTCTACCGATGGCAGGAGTAGGGGGCGTTGGGAGACCATCGTCCGGGGGAACGTAGTTCCTCGCGCTCTTGTCTTCGCCTTTGCCTTTCTAATAAGTGCGGCCGTTGTGATCCGCTGTGATAGCGACGATTTTTTTGTGGTGGTAGGGTTTTTCCTTGCCCGGACGCCGGGTTTCCCCTCCATATATTACCATGTTGGTATTTTCTGATGTATCCCGGGGCGTTCTTGCCCAATTGATGGTTAGTCACTTGCGTGAAGAACCAGGGAGGGTGTTCGTGAGTCTGCGAACATTGCTGTTGGATACNCGCTCCCCGTCGCTGGCCCTGTAGATGCACTCGTCCTGGTCGCAAAATATTGCCCTTCTGCCATCGGCGTATTTTTTCTTGCTCGTGACCCTCGCTCGTAGACCAGGGTGAAGCTCGGAGAGAGTTTCCGCGAAGGCATGCACGCAGACCCAAACGCGCCCGTCCTCCCTCCTGTCCCTCGGCTGCGTCTCCACGTCCCAGGTTCGCGCTTCCTCCATGCTCGCGTCGATTCAGATCTCCGTGTAGTCGCGGTGCTCGAAGTACGCGGGGAGATACGTCTCGACCCGGTACTGAAGCACATCGTCACGGTCATGACCGTCGAAGTACAGGCCCGACTTCATGTCGCAGTAGGCGCATCCCAGCTTGTGAAGCCAGGACCGCGCTGTGCTCACGGTGATCGCGTACGACATGACTTCACCGTTGTCGTTCTTGATCTTGGTCACGGGCGCGTGCTTGAAGGGGTCGTACCCGTCGCCCTTGGTCCCAGCGATCTCTGGCAGAACATCTTTGTTGATGTAGTCGCGGGAAGTCTCAGCTGTCATGTTCGGCTCCCCGTTCTTGACATTGCTGTTGCGAATGTAGAAGCGGATCCTAACGAGAAGCCCCTCGACAATGCATCGTACATACATATTCAAAGAAAGGATCCAACACAACTGCTTCAGCAACAGCAGTTCAACAACAAAGCAACAACATTTGCATGACGCATGAACATGTTTTTTAAGTCCAGGCTCATATTTCAGATTTTGCGCACGCTGCTTTGCAGCAGAAGAACGGCAGTTGTACATGCATATAACAACAGTAGCAACAGCGATGGCATACATCACAGTACTGTATGTACCGCAGAATTACGGGGCCACTGCTGTGTGCATGTCAGTACACAGGATACCAGCCAGATCCACACTCACGTCGAGCCCAGCAGACGTTGCCGCAACTGCACTCTGGCACTCCTTCACAACGGCGCGGAAGTACTCGACTCCTTTCTCCCAGCCAGCCTTGCGTGCAGCGGCCGCCAAGGCTGCCTTCTCCAGCTGCGATCTATGCTTTGCGAGCTTGCGCAGAGCCTCCGTCCTTCGCACACCCCTGTTGCTCTGGCGCTTGAGGAACGCCTGTCGCCAGTCCTTCTCATGTCTGTCCACTTCTCGCGCCGCATCAAACATCGCGCTTGAGAGGTCCCGCACATGCAAGCCAGCAAACGCCAGCTGGTTCTGCTCCACGCGCGCCTGGTATGTTTTCATCATTGCACGCAACCTCTTCCGGCCGAAGCTTCCCCTCGGTCGGCCAGCCCCTTCACGTGCTGCCTGCTTTGCAGATGGTGGAGGCACTGGGAGGATCTCGGCCGGGGGTTGACAGTCCCGCGGCCGTTTTTCTCGAGGAGGAGGAGGTGTGTCGTTGCTCTGGCGCCCCGCACCTTCTGTGGAGAGAACCGCGCTACGGCTTGAAGAAGACGGCCGCCACGCAGCAGCGAACTTTGCCTCGGCCGACCAGTCACGTGCCTTTTTGTTTGACTTTGGGTAGTCGATGCAGTTACCGTACCAGCTGTTGCTGGCACCATCCGCGAGGTCTGCTGCCTGCTGCAGACGATACATTTTCGGGCTCTTCACTTGACGCACACCGGTCAACGTAGAACCACGCCTAGTCAGAGCTTCCCTGATGGCCGCATGGGCCTCAGGGCGAAGCATGGAGGTCATGGGGGTGCAGTGCGTGCACCGCTAGCTTGTTTTGTTTCCAGCCGTTGGGGCTGATGTGGGCATTTTTTTTTTATTTTTCTTAAAAATCTTGTTTCTGATTTTTTGCGGCATGGTTGTCAAAAAGGTTCGGAAATGGAACCAACGCCATAAAATAGAACAGAGAGAGAGCGTCAATTATCTGCTTTTCGGTGGGTTCGCCGTAGTTGTCGAGATATGGAGGATTCAGTGGAGTAAAGTACCTTCGCTGGCGATGGTAATAGGTCCACAACTCTTGATCCAGAGCGAACCCACCGCTATTGAACGGCTTATTCGAAAGCTACTGGCGAGAGCTTTCCAACGCACATTTGCTTGTCATCCAATTCCTTTGACAACCCTTTAAAAAAAATCACCCCGCCCCCAAAATGTGGGACAGGTTCCACTGCTGTATACTGCTGCTATCAATCGACTAGTACTGCTGTAGCTCGTTCAAGTTTGGCAGCGCAGCCGATCGCCTACGGCAGCCTCGGCAGCTTGTTCGGTAGGGCAACCTCACTGCGATGCTGCGATGACGGCTAGGCTAGGAGGTGGAATCCCTACGAAGCTGTTTTTGTCCCGCCGAGTCTCAGAACCAAACCATCAAACTGACGGCAGTCGCGCTGCTTCGTGGGCACCTTCCACCCATGAGTACCAGGCCTAATATGTTGTTTCTGAGCGCCAGGACTTTATGAAGCGCTCAAAGTCAACGCTTGCAATCCAGTTTTCCTGTGAGGCGCCGGATCGCAGCTTCGCTTCTTTAGGAGAAATGTGAAAAGGCAAGTCTTCAGACCACATTACATGCATAGATAAAGAATGTTTTGTTTTCGTCCTTTTTTTTTTCATGGCGACAGTCCCCCCATTTTTCGTGGTGAGACTTGTACTACTGGTACACTTTTCAGCGTATGTAGAGTACGACACGTTTTCAGTGTATTTTTTCGTACAACTACAACCATCCAGGGTCACACAGGAGGGGGTAAACATCAGGGCTTTTTTCTTCTTTTTATTTATTTTCATGCCCCACGTTCCTCCTGCGGTGCGTGCTGAATTTTTATTTTTATCGCGAGAAGGGTCCAGCCGTCCCTTTCCCTCGTCAACGGTGCTAACGTCGAAGTTTGGTACTCACGAGAGCTTTTTAGCAATATTTCGCTTTCACCCGCAGATTTCGTACATTTGTCAGCCCATGGGGATTCGAACTCACGACCTCTGCGACTAGCGGATGACGAGGATGCCACAGAATGCCATGCGTGGGATGCGCCAGAATGTGCAAGCAAGCGATGGGTTGAACAGACGAGACGCGGACCGCACGGAAATATTTTTTGCAGAACCCTGACACTTTCCTGGCGAGCGGGGAGGGGGGTCGGGATGGATGAAGGAAGAAGGCCATGAATTCAAATGTTCAACTCCACAGCCAACAGCACGACGGCACTACTAAATAGTGCCTACTGGCAAGCTGTTGTTGACGATCACGGTTTGGAACCTTCCTGGAATATTCTACACGGCCTGTGCAATGGCCCGACCGATCGTTGGCAGCATGGGCCCGTTGGAGTAGATGAAGTGATGTATGCATACGATCGTACCCACCACGGCGATACACTCTGTCGACACCATAACTCCCGATTCATGGTTGGAGGGCCGCACACGACTGCAGCACGAGCGACGAGTACGGTTCTCAATACATGCGTGTCGCTCTTGAGCATCGTTGAGTTGGCCAAGTCTCAGTCATCATGTTCAGAGGGGATCATAACCCTTCCTGTGTCAACAACAGCTAAGGACTGGAACTTAGCGACTCGCTCAACAACTGCTTGTACTGGATCAGGCGAGTTCGAGGTCAATTGGAGCGGGAACGTGCTGCTTTCACAGATTATCACAGTTCAAAACAGGACGGTGCTCACGGTGAGAGGAGTTGGTGCCGAAGCAGCAGTAATCGACGAGGGTGATGCTCATGCTCGACGGGGTGTCGCTCATTGGAGGCAGCGGTGTCGAAAGCGGCGGGGTAGGACTTTTTCTATTTTTTTTTCGTAGTCACATTGCTGCTCATCCATTCTGCTTGCTGCCAACAGCTCTTTCGTCGGCAACTCAGGCCCTGAGGGAGGTGCGAAAAACTGCTTCGTTTGGAGTGCTACCGTATTTCGATTTGTGTCATTGTACCTCAAGAGTTGGTCTCTTTGTTTCCGTAGAAAATGTCGAGATAATGCTACGCACTCTAGAGGCGGGGTCAACATGTGTTCGAAGTCTTTGCAGTGAGTGGAAGGGGGAAACATGCTCGGTACTCCGCGAAGAGGTTTATCGTACAAACCGGAAAATCATATTATGGATGGACATTGGAGGATAGATAGGTGAGGGAAAGGGATACTCTGCGATTGTGTGTCGTGCCCTACTCCAAGACGTCCACGCTGCAGTATAATAGTGAATACCACCGTCTTTTACAAGTAGATGCCAGATTCTAACCCGCGATTCCCTTACTGCTGTTTGAACACACGAAGAGCCTAAGCATAAAAATGTGTGAATGAAAACATTTTTAGGGAGGAAATACTGTCGGATCCGTTCGTAGCTTTTCCAGACATACGATGTGGACCTGGGCAATCCGCAGCCCTACACATCGTATCGAATACTGTGTAAGGCTTTCCTTCCTCCGTGAGTTTCATAGTCCTTCCTACCTGACGTATGATGACACTGCCGTGTACGGAGTATTGGTGTAGGCCCATCATGAAGTTGATAGTGCCAACTAGACTTCCTGACGTGAACTGAACGACAGCAAACCAAGTTGTGAAACACCAAAACAACGATTCGGCGTGCTGCGCTCCAACTCTTGCCGACGCAAGAGGCAACGCAGTACGACCCCTCCCAGTGATCGCAGTACGGCATGTATGCTAACCATGTTCACGGAGGGGGACAGCGGGAACAAGCTACGGAGCTGGGGATTACAACATCACAGAGGTAGCCGACAGCTTTTGAAACCCAGAACGGCCAATCGAGTTTCCGAAGACGCATCAAACACCGCCTCGAGCAGGAAAACTCCACTTCTTTCACGTTGCCGATATCCTTAACCCCCTTAAGGTAGCGAGATTGTGTTGCGCATGGCCGCGAAGGCCAAACCCTTATGTACTGAGTTTGTAAAGCCATTGCAGCATCCCTTCTCCTTGTGGACGCACCCCGCCGCAAATAGGGCACCAACGATTGCATTTTTTTCGGCAGCAGGTGCCATCACCTCTCGCGACAGCACCATATTCATCGGAGGCAACACGGCCTTCGCTAACAACACGTCAGGATCGGACGGAGGTGAGAAATCTGCTCGAGACCCTTGCGTGCAGTCCAACATCGCATGTTGCCAGAGACGGCGTGGTGTGAGCGTCCTCGCGCAAGTTGGCGGTGTGAACTAGTTCCACGATAGACCCTTTGGCATCACTCCGGCCAGCAGCACCAAACCAGAGGACAACATGCAGCCGAATCCGAAACAGAGGCAATGATATCGCCTGGCGGGCACTCGTTGGCGGGATGTGAAATCATGCTAGTGGTTTGGTATCTTTTGTGCCAGATCCAAAGATACTCTGCCTGACCGGTAAATCTTGGTTGGATTTTACCGTATCAAACGAACGCATCGACAGCATGTGACCAACACATCCATGAGACCTGGTACATCCAGGCGTGCGAGGTTATTGACATAAAGTCACCATGCGGTGCTGACAGTTTTTTGGCGTTCGCAGAATCCGACACGTCTGCCTATCTTCGCCGCAAAGGAACAGAAGCTAGCCAATAATGTAATCCAGACAAGTGCCTCCGCTCGGGAAGAAACACGGGTTGGTACAACTTGGTAGCCTGCAGAACTGGCTCTCAGTCAAGGTATATTTCGTTAAGAAACAGAGGCTCAAATTTTCACGAAATATATATAAATAGGGTTAAGAAACACGGTTTTAGTGGTGGACCCTAGACTACACTCTGCATGACAACCTTTGCTCGACACAGTCGCGATGAAACATTAGTCTAAGCCCCGACCCGGTTTTGACATTTCTTATCTGCGGGCCCGTAGTGTATCGGTCCAGAGCCCCCCGCCGACAGTAGGAAACGGGAGGTAATGTAGATCTCTGCTCCATTCGGAAGCCGAGTCACGACCAGAATGCAGGAAATGGAGAAGGAATGATTCTACTACAAATGCATATAAATCCAGAGAAAGAAGAAGCTATCTTCGCACCTCGAACAAGCCGGGGAGGAGAGTTCATCGCAGGGTTCTGTTTTGCCGACCAGGTCAATCACACCCTATGCCCTGGAGGTGTGAGGAGGGATTTAGACCATCCATCCAACCAAGAATTGAAGCGCAGCACTTGGTACCCCTCGCCATGCAGTTCAAATCGTGGCATCCCTATGCAACTGGTTGGTATCCTCGTAACCTTCTGACGTTTCCACATGTGAGTTCGAATCTCGGTGCAGTCGCACGAAGCGAATTTTTTTCTGATGTTATGATGCGTAACATTTTGGTAGATAGCGATCAGTTGGTGTGTGGAGATCATGACTTCGACTTGACGGTCAGTGTGTGAGGAACGGCTGAATCCTTCTCGCGAAGAAAATGCGTGTTAAGCATCGCCGCAGGAAGGAGATGAAAAGCGAACTTCGTGGCCTTTCTACCGCCTGATTCGTTCAGAACCGCGCCAACAGGCGGTAAGCTCCACGTCAATCCAGACTGCATGGGATGACAACAACAGCTTTTGCCTTCGGAGTACGCCAGATCATGAGTAGTGTCACCGCTGGTTTGTATCGAATAGCGAAAGACACGGGAACAACACGAATGGGCCCTTCAGGTGGGGGCTCCAACACCGCAACGCTAGCCAACAGCTCCTGGAACTCGAAACAGTCGTCGTTTGACCTCTGGAAGACACGTACGAAAGACCATCTCGAGCTGAAAACCATCTGGCCACGTCGTAATGGACGCGAAAAGCAGTTTGGATGTCTGCCTCGAAAGCTTCCTGACCGCGGACATAACCGTGCAACTAAAACATCCCGTTATTAAGTGGACCTACATTCCGCGACATCTCGAATATTGTGGGACGCAGGTGCTATCAAGTCGTACTACAGCCACTTTATCAGCATCGAGGGTGAAACGACCTTTGCTCACAACACTGCAGAACGTGATGGAGGTGAGGAATCATGTATGCCTAGGCACAATCCAGTAGTGGTCATGAAGAGTATCCTCAAAGCTGTTGCTGGACCATCGGCAAAACTAACCCGGCGTTCCTTCTGTCTGGGCTGTTCACCGCTTTGGTGGAAACTCAGTAGTGGAAGCACTTCCAGGAGGTTGGATGGAAGCACTGGTCGGTGACGGAAGTTTCCATTACATCCATGGAAGCATCCATGACGTCCATCGAAGCTGTCACAAATTTCACAGACAGCGTAGTTTTTGCATGTGGCGTGGAAGTGGTGGGAGCCATTGGTTACACTTTCATAGTAATCGTGGAAAGAGCTTCCATGGAAGTGATGGAAGCGTTCATGGAGGTGGTGAACCATTCCCCTTGTGTTGTTATCCCTCACGTCGTATGCTGCGATAACTCTTACAGCTTCTACCTGTCGGCGGCGTCGGCTTGGACGTCCCACCTGGGGTCACACGGGAGATCCTTGCATACGGATGACAGCTGCGAATGACTTAATTTATTTTCTGGCGCCTCACTTCCAGAGACAATTGTAAGCATTGTGTGACTGCCTCGAGGGTGCTTGACCAATTTAACACAACGTGGTGCGATCATCCCCCTTGCGCGGAGTGAGGGTTCTCCACCCCGCACAACATGACCTACTCGACCACCATTATGGTTACTGCAAAAAAAAAAACAGAGGTAAAAACAAATCGGTAACCTGGTTGCCGAGTTCACGAAGTGAAGTGGCTTGTTTTACAACGTCGTTGCCAAGCGACGAAAACC